ACTTCATTCATTATAGTTATCCTGTGGGATTATGGGTATTTCTTTGTGTGTAGCAACTTTCACTTTAGGAAGTGGCAGATGATATTGACTTTCTGTCTCACAAAAACACAAACAGAAACACAGACTCACCTGTTAGCACAGATTAAACACTAAAGCAAAGTGCATAGTCCTCAGTATTGGTGGCTTAATGCACTGTGTGATACTGCTGCACCTCAGGGTTCTCCCTCTGCTTTTACAGCCATGATGATATTGTCCAACACTAATGCTGGGCTAACTGCCACTGCCGTAGGCTGTATGCAGCGGGTCGAGGTGTGAAAACAACATGTTACCTCACACCAAAGCGCACATACATACGCATACACGCACATTGCAAGCGATGCGATGCACAGATGTGGTGCAGTAGAGCCCTTAATGTATGCTGTATCTCCTAGGTTAAGTCTGTGCTGTTGGGTTTTTAAATTTAAACTTCTACTGCAGAAGTCGTGATGGCAGTGTGCAGATTCCCCATCTTACTGCATCTACTCAGAATGCAAGATTGTACTAAACTAAAGGATTCTTCCTGTGGATGGGGTAAATACAGTTGGAACTGGCAGTACAGCAAGCATGTTAAAACATTTGAGTTCCACACTGGCTCGATTTGCATGTTTCCATTGTCTTTACAATTGATGGTGTGGGATGCTGTTGAATCCTCTGTAAATCAGTCTGGATTAAAGGTCAGGGAAATGTTAAGTGTAAGCTAAATGTCAATCAGGGATGAGATATGAGCGATAGGGACACAAAAATAGTAAATGGGGTTTGGAAGATGGTGAGCACATTAGTGCTACTGAGGCAGCCATAGCCATGACACATGAAGCATCATGCCTCTGGATGAAGTCAGGTTGAGAATTTGAGGGAGGTTAAGTGCGTTTGGAAAGAGTTTGCCTTTTTCATCATTCAGTAGAAACATTGTAGACACCCAATCATGTTTCATCTGAGGGTTGTCTGAACCCAGTCAGACATTTACCTGCACTGGGGGTTCTCTAACAGCTATCCTCTTCCCTGGTAGTCAGCCTCACCAAAATATATTGGTAACTACCTAATAGAAAAGGAAACAATATTATGTTTTTAATCCGTTCTAACTGTATTTCTTTCACGCCTTTTCTTTTTATTGTGCTTTTTGAAAATGTGTCTATTTAATATAACCTCATCCTTTTTAGCCAACTTCAATACAACTAGGGCTAAAACTAACATTATTTTTTTATCATTGATTAATCTGCTGCTTATTTTCTCAATAAAATGTCAGAAAATAGTGAATAATGCCAGTCATGCCAGCATTTTTGCTTAAAAAAGGAGTAAAACAATTTTATGATCAAAATAGTTGCAGATTCTTCTTCTGTCAATCGACTAATCCTTGCAACTATAATAGCACCCTTGGTCTTTATGCACAATTATGACAGTCTTGGGAAGACACCAAAGAATCTTCATGCAGTCTCTGTTGCTCTATTATTGGTAGCTGTCTGGTAGAACCAGAAAAGTGATGACAGCCTTGTAAGCAGTGCTGTTTTATTGTTATTCTGTTATTGCACAACCCAGCTGTGTTGCTGTTGAATTCAAAACCTTTGTTTTATTTTTAAATATTTTCCATCCAGTGACTATAACAGGTAACTATTGATGTATCTTAAAGGGATGTATTTTACAGCCTTTGTGTAATCTGATTGGCCCAGAATCAGGAAGGAGAGACAAAAGCTCATGCACAGAGGCGACCAAATAAGGAGATGGGCTGTGGCCTACGCTTTGATGGACATCATAGTGCAGTAGAAGCTTTGAGTGACTTGAGGGGCGGGTGCCGATGGTTTTTAAAGGGGGGAAAAAAAATCTCCCTCTGGCTTTCATCAAGCGTGGCAGGCAAGGACGAAGAGGGAAGGGGAAAGGGGGAGTGAGTGGGGGGGAGGGGGGGTGAACACAGGCATACTTACTTCTCCAACCACAGGAAAAGAAAAGAGACGGATTGCAGAGGGAAAAGAAGCTGTAGAGAGTATTTCTGATTTCTGTGTTCAGTCAGGCATCTTTGCAGACACTAGATCGTTCCAATAGACAAAGTGTTATGAATTTGCATGATTGATGCCTTTTCAGTAGCATCGCCACTTGGCTATTGACTGTGTTTCTGTGGCTGGTGACGTGTGCTGTAACTTGGGTGGTTAGAGGCTAAAGTCAGCAGACAGACACAGACGCACGCTTGAAAAGGTTTGCTGTGAAAAGGCCTTTCCTCCCCCTCATCCTCTCGGTGTATGGACAAACATGGTGTCTCAGGTAACACAAATGCTGTGTGTTTGTGTGTGTGAGTGACAGCATGGATGAATAGGTCCTATTCCAGATGGTCCTTTTTAAGTTGTAATATCAGATCGTTGATTTAAAAAAAGCATTTCAATAGACACTTGATCTACTCTGTATTCAACTTTGCTCCTATTGCTTTTCATGCCATTGTTGAACGAAGCATAGCTTGTTTAATTGTATCACAGATTTAGACAATCCTGCATCTTATCTCTCAATGTCAAAATTCAGTTTGGGTTAAGACCAGATATAACTCTAATAGAGCCTGTCATTATTTCCCATAATCCCCCTTCCCCCTCCTGTTAAGCCCCCCCCCCCCCTTTTCTTTTTCCATTATTTCTTTTTTCTTCTCCCCCCTCTCTCCCTTTGCCTAGTATATGATACTGCCATGTAGGGCAGTGCTGCTCCTTAGTCAGTGGGTCAGGAATGCCTGTGTAGTTTTAAGGTTGTACTCTTCTCAACTCTGATCCTAATCCACTGACAGCTTTTTATTCGTCTCTCTGTTTATTAGTTCATCATTTCATTATCGTTTATACACGGTAAGCTCAATCATGACAAAGCCTTAACACACATGGTCACAACACCGTGGTAGTGTTCTTTAAACCTCTGCTGAAAGAGACTAAATATTACAACACACTCAAAGGTTTTTTGTAATTTCATATGACAGATATGTGGGAGCACTGGGTAATGACATCTAGTTGGTTCAGGCTTGGCAGTGCTTTTATTCAGCTAGGAACCATGCGATAGAATAGACGTAATAAACCAAGCTTTTATAAACCACAGGCTGCTTCTCGGGTGCCCTGAAGCAGCCTTCTGAAAAGCACTGGATGATCAGTGTTTGTGATATGGCATCCCTGTTAATGAAATATCTCAGTTCTGGGAGACCCAGTCACGCCTTGGCTCTCTCATGCAGCGAGATTTAAAATGTAGATGAGCACTCCTGTTAAAACATGATTAGGTCTAATTCCCTCTGCGTCTAATTATAAGCTGTAACCTTCTTGTTCTGTTGTCACTGTTTTCTCTAATTCTTTTACGCTCTCCTCTCTTCCTGTGCCCAACATTTTCGGGGGGTGTGACTCAGCCCTGGGCAGGGATATGCCTATAGGACACACCCTTTAGTGGCTGAATTCAGGCTACTGCATGTTTATGAGCTCACATGCCCTAACAAGTACACTTAAGCTTTGATACATCCCCAGCCTGGGTAGGCTAAGGCCTAACCAATGAATTTCAATGGCTTATCGTCTCTTTTTGAGCAGGTTTTTGATGGGTCCCTTTTTTATCACTAGGTGACAGAAACCCGTAGCGGATGCAAAACGCAATAAGCTTTCACACATTCCTTCCTAACATACATTCAGCCTTACCACAATGAGAGTGGCAACGGACGAGTCTCCCAGATTTTTTCCATTCAGTTTTTGGATTACGCAGCCTCCTCTATCTGTTGGGCCCAGACCCCACAAGCTGTCTGTCTTGCAGATGGGCCTTTTAGCCTCAGCTGGCTTTTTTACAGCCAGTGCGGTCGACTCACTGCAGAAGAGCAGTGAGCAGTCAGGCTATAGGATTAGAGAGAGGGAGAGGGCTTGCTTGCTTTGCGGCATCTTGGTTACTCTGTCTAATTAAAAAGCCTGTCTGGAGACCGAGTGTCTCTTGGCGTCGCCCAGCCCAGATCCAGAGACCAGACCAGTGGTTAATGGTGTTGGATGCTGCCTGGCCTGGTGGGGAAGGAGCAGCCCTGACCCTAAAAGCCTTCTTTTTTTTCCAGCTCATTCTGTATCTCCCTGTCCATCCACCGTGTCTGCATTTCTTTCTACTTTCTACTCTCTGTCTTTGCTGTAAAAGGACTTTGTGAAACTTCGTGCAAGATGTCCTTGAGCTTGTGTGAATTGATTTGAAGGAAGCAATATTGCAGAGTCACCATACGTACATACATACATACATACATACATACATACACACACACACACACACACACACACACACACACACACACACACACACACACACACACACACACACACAGACACACACACACACACACACACACACACACACACACAAACGCATACAAGATAAGGTGTATGCGTTGGAGCAGCAGCACAGCTATAAAGCATCTGTAGATTATCCTGCTGCTGATACAGTTGTAACAGCTGTCGTGTGCAGGGGGGAAAAAAATAACCTGAGGCAACATAGTCCCCACTGATACACAGTTAATCTGAATTATAGATGGCCGCTAAAAGAAATCCAAAAATACAGGAACAAGTATTCACACAATGCAACAGTAGCTGTAAACATGTCACGGTTATCATGGCGCAGTCTGTGTTTATCTCTCTGCGTGTCCATCCATCCCATAAGCATCTTTGTATCTCAAACCTTGTATCGAATTTTCTGACTCTTAATAATAGATGTGTTCGCTGTAAATATTTCATGGTTGGCTGACTGAAAACACATGCCTGTCAGAGATATGGAGGTAGAGGGAGGGGGAGAGGATAGTAGGGAGGGAATGGGGGAGTAACTGAGTGGTGAAGGAGAGAGAGAGAGAGAGAGAGAGAGAGTGAAATTTAATAGGCAGGGTTTTAACCCCCTCATTCTACCTTCATCAGGACGCTACAGCCACTGTTACAGGCTTACTGAGTACATATGTTAACTTGTCTCCTTCTCTTCTTTCCTCTCCTCTCCCTTCCCTGCTGCTGTAGGGCTCTCAGGATTCTACAGGAGGACAGGAGGGTTTGGTGGCCCCACCCTTTTCAGCGTTCCCTCCTCCACCCCCTCCTCAAAACGGGCTACCAGGGACAGACTTCGTCCCTGGGGCAATGTTTGGTGCTGGGGGCCAAGGTACAGCAGAGGTAGGGGCTGGTGCTAATGGAGCCACCACCACTACCACCACCAACAACAACAACATCGTAAGCACTGTGTTTATTAAAGTCTTAGTAAGATCCTGTATGATTCTATTTATTTTTATGAAATTTTGAAAGAATTCATCAGAAATTGGTTGGTGACTTTTTTTTATATGCATGGTCACCAGGATGAATACTAATGACTCTGGCGATCCCTTTCACTTAACATTTACCTCCACCAGTATATTGGCCAGGATCTGGTGAGACAATGCATATCACGATACAGGGGTTATGATTGTATATGTATGATATATTCGGATATTATAAGCATCACAATATATTGTGATCTAATTTGGGGAGTTTAAAAAGAGTCACCATGCAAACAGAACAACAGGATGTGCATTTGTATTTATCATAGCTCTTGTAACAGCCAACATCATAACCCCCAGCTTACATTTAAAACACTGCTATGTAGCGTGTAGCAAGAATTGACAGTGTCACAAATGTACCCAAAACAAAATATTGTGATTCTCAAGTTTATGGATATTTTCTTTAACCCATAACCAGCAGGCATTTTTCTTTTAAAGTGAAATATCTAAACAGCTGTTGCATTCATGGTGCCCAGTGGATGAATACCAATGACTGTCTTCCTGTAGTGCCAGCAGCAGGCAGATATGAAATATCTTAAATATAATAATAATAATAATAATAATAATAATACTTTTGAATGCATTGCCATGAACTTCGGTATAGTCAGTCTTTACCCCCGCAGGATGAATTGCAGCAGCTTTGGTGATCGCTTCATTTTCCCCATAGTTCCATCATCAGGTCCACCCCCCCCCCCCAAATACTTGGGAAAACTAATGACCTCAGCCTTAGCTGGACTTTGTGTGTAGTGCTAATTGGTAAATGTTAGCATACTAACAAGGCAAACTAAGCAGGTGAACATGGTAAACATTATACCTGCCAAACACCAGCTGTCAAGGTGCTTCCAGTCTCTGAGAGCTGCAGTAATGGCTGCAGACTCTCAGTCTTGTTGTTAAACATAAATACAAAAATCTAATTTCATTTAAGAAGCAGCTGAGATTATAATTTCATTATATAATGATATAATTTCCTCCCAACCACAGGTAAAGACAGACGAGACGTCCCAGGGGGAGGCAGGAGTACAGTGCGGTTCAGGAGGCTCAGGAGGAGGAGGCTCTGTGGGAGACCCCACAGAGGCCAAAGGGACCCCCAAACGTCTCCACGTCTCAAACATCCCCTTCCGCTTCCGGGACCCTGACCTCAGGCAGATGTTTGGGGTAAGAAGCTAGGAATGTTGTGGGCCTCATTTTTAAAGGGATCAATAAATCAGTCTAGCCACCTCGGGACCACCGCGACGGGGCTCGCTAGGGGTGTGGTTTAGAGACCGACAAAAGAGTCAAACGAAAACACAAAGGAAAGACACTCATGATTGTTCTCGTGGTGCTTGAGGGGGCAATTGTCTGCTATGTGTGTCAGTGTGTTAGCATGAGTGACGAAGTGAGAGGGAAAAAGGGGACAGAGCAGAGTTCAAGGCGAAGGGACAGCAAGAAGCTCATTGAACTGTGGGATGTTGTCTTTTGTGTAACAGTGACACCTAGTGCAAAGCGGTTGTAATTCACACAGTGCCAGAAGCCTCAGTCTTTACAGTAATGTCGTCCTAAAAGACTAAAAACCAAAACAACTCAAAGATGTAATCTACAGTTTTCTTTATATATATTTGCTAATGTCTTCCCTTGTATCTATTTGCAGCAATTTGGAAAGATTCTGGATGTAGAGATTATTTTCAATGAGAGGGGTTCAAAGGTAAGTCGACACACTGCACTTCATCTGACTGTTGACTAGTAAGAGTAACTTCCACTTTGCATGGTTTTTCTCTGTGAATGTGACACTTTGTGACATGGTATCAACCACGTGGGGAATTGTTGTTATGAAACTCCAATTATCTGTTTAACAATGTCAGAGTGCACACCAAGGTCTAAGGATTCTCCTCTCTCCCTCTCCACAATCCCTTATGATGTGCCCCTCACTCGCCGCCAACCTCTTTAACCTCTGCTGTATGCCACAGGGGTTTGGCTTTGTGACATTTGAGACCAGCGCAGATGCGGAGAAAGCCAGGGAAAAGCTCCACGGCACATTGGTGGAAGGTCGTAAGATTGAGGTAATTTTTCCTCCTCTCTCTCTCTCTCTTCTTCTGTATTCTCTCTGTACTCCCATCATAATTCTGCTTGATCACTGACTGCTAGCTAGCTCCCATCTTCCCTTTAGTGATATGCTCTGATGCAGCCCACTGGTATCCCACTCCCTGGTCCTCTGCAATGTGTTTTTCATTTTTAAATCTAAAAAGACTTCTTTCCTCCTTTTTTTTTCTGTTTTGTTTTTGTGGTGGGAATGATTGGGGGTGCAAGAACACTACTACATAAGGCATGCTGGGTACTTTTCCTCTGCAGCATTTTTTTTTTTTTTACATTAAGTTGTTTCCTCTTCACCTTTTTTTCCCACTGATGCGCAACTTGTAGCCACACTGACGTTACAACTTTTTTTTTTGCAACAATTGGAATGATGTTTGTGTAGCTGGCACCGGAGGGCACGAGAGGAACGCAGTGAAAGGATGATGCATGGCAGATTGCTGTCAGATGCTCTTATTTTCTTCCCTAGAGTAGAAATCCTTCTGTGTTCCCCTCTCCCGGTGCTGCAGCTAAGTGGTTGTGACAAGCTTATGGCTCCTGGTGCTATAGCAGCATGCTGGGAATCACAGCAACACTGACGCATGTTCACTTTATGGAAGTCTGGATTCTTACCCATGATCTGTGCACTTGAGTTTTTATGTTTGTTAAGTCTATGTGCGTTCAGGTTGTTTATTTTGATTTCATTCAATATTGTTTGTTTCTTAACTGAAGCATGTGCTGAGTATTTAAAAGCAGTTTTTCTTCTTTATTTTAATTGGGGTTTTAATCAGCCAGTTGTCCATATTGGATCTCTTGACCCACGCTACTGTAAGCCAGGATTTCTGCATGGGCTTACTGTGGTGATTTCCGTGTGTGTGTGCGCGTGTGTGTGCGCGTGTGTGCGCGTGTGTGTGCGTGCGTGTGCGCGCGAGTCAGTTCCTGCATGATGGATGAGGCTGGCTGGATCCTGTTTTAGTTCTGTACTCTCAGTTCTGCTGCAGTGTGGTCGAGAATGAAAGACAGCCACCTGCACCCACTGGTACAACATACTCCCTCCACCACCTCCACCTTCAGTCAATCAGCAAGCTGAATGGATACTGATGGAGCCAATTTACCCTGCATTAGTCTTGTGTTCAGTCAACAACCCGTGTTGTCCCCGGCATTGCTTTAACCTGATTCTCTGTTTTTCTTCCCAAGTTTTGCATGACATCAGTCACTTGTATTAATCAGCGAGCAGTATTTCAGCTGTCACATTTGCATGTATTCTGTTGTACTTGTAGTGGTGTTGGGCTGTAGCGAGTCATGTATCAGCTGCATGGGGAGCCAGCAACAGGAAGTCTGTAGAGTGTGTCTCTTTCTGTCTGTTTATGGTGCATGGGCTTGAAGAGACAAAAGGCTGGCGCAGGACAAATCGTGGATTTGTGTTTATACATTCTTTCAACTGAGGAGAAAGGGCCGGACATTTCTATTTGAGGCAATGCTATCTGGCAGTTCTCCTTTCTTGCAGATGTTGCTGTGTTACTCTTGCTTTAATTGGTCATATCATTTCAGAGTTTGTTGAACTAAGACGGCAGAAAATAACTAGTAATCATATATGTGTAATGATTCAGAAACTCTGAAATATAGGCCTACTGTATACCATGGTTATACATTAATATTCAACTGTTATCATGTGTGACCCTGCAGTTCACTGCTATCCACTGGCATGAGTTAATTTAATGTAACCTAAGTGTGCATGGTTGGTATTTGAATATGGAAATATGTCGCCTAACTGAGGCAGTACTGCAGGCAGCTAGGTGTATTTCTTGCATGTTTATTCTGTATGGCTATTTGTTGACATTAGCTTTGGTGATGGGACTGTTGACTTTCTTGTTCAATTGGCATGAAATCAGTTGCACCTGGGTACCTCTTAGTCTTGCCTCACTCATTGAAAAAAGGCTGAATAGCTGAACTCTTAATTTTTCAGTGTAAGTTTTGATTGAATAACTTAGAGATACGCTGTCCTTAACTCGAGCGCTGACATTTCTTATTCCCGGTGCATGCCAATGGGAGTTGGTTACTAGTTACTCTCATAGATGATAGCTGCCCGTAGTGTGCATGTCTGAAGCCTATATGAAATAGAAAGAGAATTGTTGTGCTCAAAGTTAAACTGTACTTGTCTTTGTCTGGAATAAAACTCTGCGCTTTGAAGAAGTCAATTTCCTGTATGCTTCCAATGTATCCATGTAAGTGGCCCAACTACAATTCACTTTGTCTCTACCTGCTTCTCTGTGATCCCATCTCATTACCATTAATTCTATATATAGAGTCCTATAGGCCTATATATAGGTGTGACAGTGTGTATCTTAGTTTGCACTCAAAAACATACACACCTCAGTGCATCTCCACCCACTCATGGCTGTTTCTGTGCGTATGCTCTAACATACATGGGTTAGACAGTCCTCACTCATAACATATATCTGCCTTGGACAGTAACGTCATTGACTTGTGTTACTTTGACTGTAGGACACCCTACAAAGCTAACGAAAATCTCAACACAAACCATCACGTCACGTATGTGTAGTCGCATATTTCATTTTTGTGCTGCAGTTATTGGGCTGTACAGGAAGTGCATTAGGGTCCCCACATGGTCTCATTTGTGCTGCTGCAAACCTGGATCCAGGAAAT